TGTTCTCAAAGCTTAAACATTGTCAGACATGACTCTATTAGCATGTCTGACAATGTTTCTTCCCCCGCCCCCCTCCCCTGCCCATTTTGCATAGCCACATCTTCTTTGCATTTCGGCCTTTTCAGTTCTTCCCTCTAACATTCTCATCATCATCATCTGTTCAACTATTCCCCCTGCCCCAAACTTGTCTTCTTCCACCCAACATCCTCTTTAGTCCTCGTCATCTTCTTTATTTCAACTCGTCCTCCTCCCCTTTTGAGCAGGACCGGAGGCGTAGCATGGCATCACATCTCCGACGGAGCTGCACTGTCGGGTGGTGTCATCTCCTTTGGATCTCACTGGACGGTGTAACCCATGCTTGATTTGGATGGATCTAAGGGTGTAAGCGTTGACGGATATTTTTGATGTGAGGATTTAAGCTGTGATGGCTTTCTGTCAGATCTAAGGACTCTAATTCGAGTCTGTGGTGATGGTGGTCAGCAGCGACGGCTATTCCGTTGGCGGAGTATGCCCTGGAGTCGCGATTCATGGGGGCATGGCCGGATGGAACGAGCTTCAAGTTCTAGGAGATGGGCTGATGGCGTAGAGTAGTAGATAGAGAGTGTTGGGTCCAGGGTATTTTAGGAAAGCCAATGTCATCTCACAAAAACTTGTGAAGAAAAATAATGGACAGAGGGAGTATTAAGAAATTTATATTAAGAAATAAAAATTTTATAAATGCATTTAATTAGTAAATGTATTGAAAATATATTACTACATACTTAGTAAATGTATTGGAAAAATTTGTGAACATATTAAAAATATAAAATGTTATTCAAGATCTCATGTAAAGTATGTAAATTTAGTGAACCTTTTCATGTTTGTGACTTTCATGTTTCTTTTATGTGCTTATTGATGAGTTTGCTCTTCTATCTTTTTCCTGAGACTATATTGTTTACAAAATCACATGCATTTCTCTTATTGGCTCCTTTTATTCTTTCACTACAAGCAATTGTTAGTTTTGTAACAATGCAGTTTCAACTTTGTACTGTGTTTTTCACTTCCTCTTTGGGCACAAGAACACATTACTTTGGACGGACTATTCTTCATGGTGGAGCTAGGGTATGTTTGCTATTAAGCTCTATATGCACATGTTACTCTAACTAACATTAGCTTAGCAAATAACTTTTATTATTTTCAACAGTATCAAGCGACTGGTAGGGGCTTTGTTGTTCGACACATTAAGTTTTCTGAGAACTATAGGCTCTATGCCCGCAGTCATTTTGCCAAGGGGTCTCTCTCTCTCTCTCGTATCCTATTCTTTTGTAATTATGTCCGTTTTGCATATGCATGCATTTTAATATATTATGCATATCCCTACTCGGGGAAAGCTCTAAATATTGTTATT